GGGGGGGGGAGGGACATAGGAGGTAACCAAGTCCAACCCAAGTCTGATCTCCGAATGTCGTGCACAGTTCAATCCCAATGTAGCGTGTAAGTCCGGTCTGAATGTCGTGTCCAATAAGGCAGAATGCCGTGCCCAAACAATGTCTGCAGTCACCTCTATCTCTACTCTGATCAAGACGAGGAAGAATTTTTTTAAGACGATCAAGACGATCAAGACTTGAAATTTGAATTTTGAATTTTTTTAAAGTTACATGTGTGTAGCACTCCAGCATGGGGAAGGTACAGAGTCTTCATAAAGAAAGGCCAAGTTAGAAATTGTGGGTCTTTTTTCACATAGGTGTCTCTTTCCTATGAGCAAAGCTCAAAATGTCTGAAAATGAATGAAAAGCAAGTAGAGAAACCAAAAAAGAGGGAAATCAGGAGCATCCATCCCATGGCCCTGATTTCGTTCCGCTATCCTAATCGGTGTTCACTGTTCGCCATGCCTGAGCTGTACAGGGTGTACAGGTGCAGCTGACTAAACAGGTGCGTACCTGGCCATACAGCACTGTGCAGTCTACACAGTCATAGAGCTGTACAATGTACAGGCTATACAGGTGCGACCCTGGCTATACAGGTATATAGTATACACAGTCTATGCAGGTGGTTGTACCTGGCTATACAGGTGTGTCCCTGGCTTTGCAGTTTTAAGGTGTACACTGTACAGTCTATATACATATGTGCCTGGCTATACTTATAGTCTACGCAGGTTGATCAGCTATAGACTGGAGACCGACCCGCAGACCCCGCAGTGGGGGTCTGTACGGTGGTTTCAGATTGTATTGTGGGTCTGTAGCACGTGTTGTGGGGCTGTAAGGGCTGTCTATGGTGTCTTTAGGGTGGGTTTTAGGGTGGGTTTTAGGGTGGGTTTTAGGGTGGGTCTTAGAGTGGGTCTAAGGGTGGGTCTAAGGGTGGGTTTGAGACTAGAAATCCACCCTACTACGCTGCTAGATGTGGTGTGTGTGGTCTTAGGCCCAGGGGTGAGCTCAGGACTGTGCTGTACCCGCACCATCTGAATTCCTACTATGGGTCCGTGGAAATGGATATATAGACATGGACAAAGTGATTTTATGATTGCCCAATTTGCCCCTGGATAACTTTTTGTAGTTCTGTTGGAGGCACTGGTCTTATGGACGAATTGCATTTCTGACCTGCATGCAGGCAATTCATGAATCAAGCAGTCGATTGGATGAAAGTCTGCTTGCACAGGTTGGCGCGTGGATGCGCAAGGTGAGGCTTATGGAAAACCTTGCTCAACTTTTTTTCCAACTTTTCTCAAAGCTGTGTGCAATTTTCTTCCTGGTAGAGTGGAGAAAAGGAGTGAGCAAAGTTAAAACTTAAAACATAACAAGAAAAATGCAAAAATAAAACTAAAAAGAATTTCAGAAACAGAAAAAAATCAGGGCCTCTCCCGACCAGGAGCCTGGGTCAACCGGCCCGCCAGACTGCCCCGGTCGAGTCCAGCGCACTACGGGGGGGGGGGGGGGGGGGGGG